GCAGTAGTCATGATTAGCCATTAAGCGGTAAGGAAATTAGTTTAATAAAAATTTCACAAACATTCATATACTCAAAGTATTGCTGATACTATGTCAAGATGGATAGTTGATCTGACACATAAGATTTTATTTTACTTACAGGACTAAAATTTAATTAAGTATTTAAAGAATCATAATTCTAATATATCTGAGAGGTACTCACTCCAGTGAAGTGGTGACATCAAACCGTTCCACAAATTCCAAATGTAACTTCTCGCCTGCAGGAGCCATTATGATCCATTCACACTCGGTGTGTGGTGGTGGGGCGCTTGGGAAGTGCGGTGACATAATCACAACTGAGCTGTTTTGTGCAGAGAGTACCGTGTGACCTCCACAAGCCACTGACACTTCTCGGTAAACCAACTTGAAGATCTGAAAATATTAAACCTCCTATGTGCTTTCTTTCATTCACTCAGAGTAGTAGAACTTACTGCACGTATAATTTACAACTCCTAAAATGATGGAGCAAATGCTTGAAAAAATATAATTTTAGAGGCATAACTTATTTTTCAATATTTTATGTAAAAAATAACTCATTTGCACAAGTATTCTCCCAATCTTCATATAATTACCATTATTCTTGAGTAACCACATGACTGTACATTTCTAAAATAACTAAATTCACTTTTGATATATAGTCAAGTCAATCATCAGTTTATTTGCACTGGGGGCAAAGCATCCACAAAACAGAAAATATATTACAGAACCCTAATAACATGTGTGAATGTATCAGAATAGTTGTTTCATAGCATTTTATCAACTTGCACATACCAATAACTTGTTTCTTGTTATACTAACCCATTTAATGCATATTATTTTCTCACCACTTTCCTGAAATAATGCATTTTTAAGGTGAACATATAAAAAACTTTCAAATTTGTTCTTCCTAAATGCACTGTGACAACATTTTTGTACAATTTCAAATGCTTCAAACTAGGTGGTACCACTGCGTACACCAACAAAAATGCGTTCACAAAGTCCGGTAAATGAAATCAAATGACTCAGTAATAGGAGATTATTTATTTATAAAGAAGTCAAATGTCGCACTATATGGTACCGGACGCTTGTCTGACTTTAATCTAACACTGTAGCAATAGGGTTGGACAATTTATAAATTAACTTACAGCTGCTGCTGATAAGCCAACAAATGTAACACTTAGTTCATTTCCTGTAGTTTCAGGAATATTTGTTGGAGCTTCTGTACCACAGTATCTGCCCTGTCCCAACATCGGAGAGGCCCGGGATCTTCCATTCCTCAGCTGTAAACACAAATTAACTGTACAGGCTTACTAGTTTCTGGAACGGGACGTTCTGTGTCTTATTTGTACATTTAAATGGGCTGCAAGGTAAATTATTTTCTAGGAGGGAAATGATCTAGCTTGTGACACAGGATTTTTGTTGACTGACACTCTTTGATGACTGAGACTTACCACAATGTTATTCTCCGCACAGTGAGTCGTATCCACAGATGGAACATTGAACACTGGGAACTCAACTGCAATAGTTCTGCCAACTTTAACGGTGACGTTCCATTCACACTGTAGGTGCTGATACGTATGAAACCAATGGAGCGCTCGAGTTTCATTCTGCATGTCAATCACCCCGTTTGGTCCGGTCAATAATCCGCCACACACTGTTGAGACATGCAGACATTTAATGAACAGTGACGGTCAAGTTTAAAACAGGACATAATACTAATTTCGTGTTCAGGGCTTCATCGTGATAGACACTGGAAAATTATCCCAAAACAGACCAAGAAATCAGACAAAATAAACATAATAAACATTTTGTATCAGTGAAAATGGAAGAAATAATTTATTTATAGTTCATTTAATGATTTTTTCAGTAGCTAATATTATATAACATCAAATTATATAATTAATGGATAATGCATTTGAAAGGAAGGAAATAGAAAGAAGTTACGACTTAATTGTTGATTTTCTATCCCAGCATTCTCCTGTAGCGACTGATGAAAACTGTAACCAGGAATGCTGGTATCTGGGCCTAGATTTTAAAATGTGACCTCCGAAATATGAAGCAGGAGTGCTAACCACTTGATTGTGACATCTGGTTTGATGTAAAGGGTACAACTTGCAATGACAAGCCAATTTTCAGAAGCATTTTTACCAATGTCAGTTTGATACCGTTCTGTACAAGAATAATTTTCAGTTTCAATGTCAGCTATCAGTTATGAATTTCCACAATAATGAAAATTTTTGTGATTTTTGTATTTAAACAAATATACGTTGAACAATATGGTTGAGTTACTGATTTCCAATTTGTGTGGGTCAGCTGGTACTCTCGGTAAAGCATTTGCTTCTTCACTCATAAGGAGCACGGACAGAGAAAATGTAACACAGACAAGTCCTGTGTCAGAGGGTTGCATCCCTCTTCCACTTATAACTCAATACTTGCAACATAGCATTATTTTTATTATGTAGATCATGCAGATTATGTTACAGGAATGAGGCATTGTGCATATTTAGGAATGGATACTGAGAGGGTTCAAAATGATGGCTGCTGGGGGTACATCGAAGCTCTGCTAGGTGCAGAACACAGATACTGAACCTGAAACTGAGATCAAGCGGGCAAGAGCCCTAGGATATGGAAGGAACAAAAAGGGAGTGACAGCTATAAATGTTAGAAACGGCAATTTTCAACTAATTGTTTACCTATTTTAACATTTGCTTTGAAACCGGTCTTGTTTGCATAATAGTCTGTGTGGAACACGACCTTCATCAGGTTTGTAGTCTCTATCAACTGATGTGTCACATTTGGCAGACAAAGTGTCCTCAGGAGTCTCCAGTTTGGCAACCCTCGTTTACCTGCCAACACAAGAAAAGGGTTTCCACTTTAGAGCTATACGATTATGAGCTTTATATGGCATTCTTTTGATGGTTCTGAGGACATCTTGAAAGATACATCCAGTGCTTCACGGCAATACTTCTGACGAACCACACGTGAGAACACATGAAACATGAGTCCTGATCAAAGCTATCAACATGTCATCTGTAAAGATTATGACGCTGTATTTTCAGGGATAGAAGGTTAATTATTTTAAAAGTTGACACCGTCAACACACATGCACTTGTTCCACTGTTCCTGCCAGTGATAGAAGCGCTCTCAAAAACAAACGTTCTAGCGTTGCCAACAGTTGCGCCATTGTGTTGTGTTTAATTATTTCCCATGTCATCATATCTCCTGCATTTTTAAGTTTATTTCTTGAAGTTAGGGAAAGGACAAAGTTGCAGATAATAGGGCGTAGCATACCATAGCACAGTATATTTTAATTTCTGGTGACTTGCACAAACAAAACATTTTGTCTGTGGCTTCGCTTTCTTCTCAGTATCTGACAGTTTTGTAATTAAATGCCTGTCACAAAACCACTTTGGTAATGGGTTTATGGATGGTCTGCCTACATGTACCATGTGTCGTTTGTACATTTGAACTAATTCCTTTAGAAGCGAAAGTCTGAATTCGAGAGACACATTTCCTTTATAATGAGTTACATACTATACATGCCTATGTACTGTCATTTCATATTATGTACCATTTCAGTCCACTTCTTCACTCAATGAGGTATGATTGTAATCTTTGATTTTGAAATCTAATCCTCCCTCAGCAGTTACAGTCCACCAAACATCATGGTTTGATTGATGAAAGACTCTCAGGCTACAAACCGTATCAGGTGGCTTCTGCCAACGTTTCAAGAACAATCTCTGCTCTCATCCTCAGGGCTGCTTCCCATCGGTAAGAGTGCTACAAAGAATCGGATTTGCTATGCAGCAGCCCTGAGGATGAGAGCAGAGATTGTTCTCGAAACATTGGAAGAAGGTATGGTCTATTCACCGCTGCAGCTTGTAACCCGCAAGTCTTTCATCAACTTCAGTTGCCGTGAAAGCTTCACTTTATACATCTTGGTTTCATTAAATTCCATTCTGGTTTTGCAGCCACCATTTCCAAATCATGAAATGATGAAAAATGAAAATGTCCCCTTTGTCCTTCCATTATAGAACTATGACCCCACCATAGCTAAAAGTTCACCTTCCACCACGATAGTCATTTTTACTTCCAGTTCTTCATTTCTATTCAGCCTAAGAGTTCCTGTCACATTCACTCCATTTCTCTCTACCCTAAAGATGGAAACAGCATGTTTCTCTAGAACACTGTTATCTACCCAAACGTCTGACAACGGTATCTTCACTGCTAAGAAAACCTCAGACACTTAATTCTCTTGGTTCAAGGCTCAATTTGTAGAAAATCCAAAACTTCCAAGATAATAAAACAACTATTTTCTCTGCCTTCAATCTTTTTATTGACAGCTTACCTTTTTTTTTTAAAAAAAAAAAAAGAGAAATTGAATCTTGAATAATGTTATTACTGTAATTCTGTGTGATAGTAGTAGTATATTTCTCTGAAACGATGGTATGTACCCAAAAGTCCACCACACAACATTACCGCCCAGAAGACGAACATCAACAGGAAGAAACGTCTCCTGCCACCTGCTTCATTACTTTGGCCAGATTATGTTCATGCACAATTCATTCAACTCATGCCGAGACTGGTATGAATTAACGCTCCATAAAATGCTAGGCATAGGTATAAAAACCATCAATATGACCAAAGGAGTTGAATTAAAGCTCATATTTGACGACCGTTTTGTTCTCACTCTGTTCAGTCTATGTTTCTCTTTCTCTCAACTATTAAGTACTTTTCTCTTCACTCTTAAATTATGTTTAAAGTGAAGCTTTTGCGGCGACAAGTTGATGAAAGACTCTCGGGTAACATGCCGCGTCAGGTGGCTCAGTGGTGAATGAACCATTCAGCGACTTGACGCAACCTGTTACCCTAGAGTCTTTCATCATCTTAATTGATATGTTGTTGTTGTTACAAAGCATAACCGAAATCAAACACTAAAGAATAATGCTTTCTGTCCACAGGTAGTTAAAGACACAGCAATAATGTAATTCTAACATCACCTCAGAGTAACCTTTCCTTAAATCGTTCAAGAGCTCTAGATAACGGCTAAGCACGCCTCTTACCTGTGTGCACCTCCACATAGTCCAGGAAGCACGAGTCAGAGTGTTCTAAATCCATGTTTTGGAAGAGTAAGCCCAGATGGTTCCCTGGAGCAGTTTCAAAGATCCACTCACAGTTCAATGAGTCAGCATATCCCTCAGGATACCCAGGACTAATTAATGTAAACATCTCACTGGAATGATTTCCTCCCACCTGTAGGCCTATCAAACCTCCACAACCTGGAACTGATAAATTCGATCTATCTAGTGTCACAGATACAACAGACAAGGAATTAGAATTCAAGTTCAGAAGAAAAACAACAAATAATGCTGTTTGCTGATGACAACATACATGAAAATTAATTTGTGATGGATTGTAATGACTAACAATGATGCAGTCTTTACTGAATGCTAATCATGTGTTAATTACGTTGACTTCTGAAGCCTTCAGCGTCCAGCGAATGAACACAATGTCTGAGCAAGTGTACACCTTCTGAATATGGGGTATGTCAGAAGAAATTTAATTTGGGATCATGCATAGAAAATTAATGTTTTACAGAATATAGATAATGATTCAGCCTTTTCAGGGTTATTTAAAAAAAAGGAAGACTGAGTTACATGAACGCAGAGACTCCATAACATGATGGCAGAGAAGGGTGTAAGAGGGACAGTATATAGAGAAGAATGGTGATCGGAAATTGCAACATGTCAAAACCATTAATAAACTGATACACACGAAAATTAAAAAAAAGGAGTTATTTCTTGGAAACTCTGTTATCAAGCTTTGTGTCAGTCATAATGTCTGTAGAATTTAAACCTTTCAGTGGCAAATTTTTCAGACAGGTATACGTGACAAATACCAAGCTGGGATATTTAAATTTGCATGCCTTAAAAAAAATATTTCACTCATCAAAACTTTGAAAATGGAAAGTCTACCTTTGTTCTTATGGCTCTTCTTCACAGATGTCTGTACAATATGTATCACCTGCAGAGGTTCATGGTAGTTTTCATTTTATGAGCATAAAAGACATATTTTTTTTTTTAGAAAAAGAATTTTCAAAAACAGAATTTTTCTTTTAGTCTTTAAGTGGGACTTGCATGCAATAAACATTGTTATAGTTTATAATTTGACAAGAATCACACACTTGTATTAATAAAAATTAAAAAGTACAGCTGTCCCACAAATTGCCATGTAGGCGCTTGGGGGGGGGGGGGAGTGGAGGTATAGCTACTACTCATTCTTGACCTCAGCACTAGATGGGGGTGAGTGGTCAGCATCACGCCCCGACCAGGAAAGGACCCCGGTACCCATTGGATAGGAGGCTAGGTGGGGCCCTGAACTGGTCTGGATGTAGAAGCTACAGGAAAAATCTTCTGCCTCCGTCGGGGATCGAACCCCAGTCGTCCAGTCTGTAGCCAGTCACCATACTGACTGACCTACGCTGTATTAATTATGAACAAAATACGAAAGTCTCAATTCACATTTCAATGCATTGTACTTACACCATATCAATGCAAAATTTATGAAATGCTGTCACTCAGCATACTTTTGTTTGGGACAACACTCTCAAACCCTTATCACACTCTGTGAATATTTCTCTGAATCATCATATTCATCCTTTCCATGTTTGTCCTCTTGCTGCACACACAAAAATCTTTCACTTTCTTCCCTAGTAATTTTTGAAGATATTTTCTGGGAGTTTGTGTGTCTGAATGTGGTTCCGAGCTCTTATCCTTCACTCCTTTCCTTGCAGGTAAATTATTTTGATTCTGAAATCCAGCCGCAAAATTAGTTTAGTTCAAACAGTAATATTTTCTTTATATATAACCACTGAGTATCATTCTCGAAAATATGTTGAAATAAATTTTCTTCCTGTATTTCACATATCTCATCATTTACCAAAGTATGCATACATCATCATATAAAACATATCAGTGCCCCCTATGTAGTACTGTATGCTTGAAAAATCATACGTTCGGTGTGATTTTAATCTTTGCCACGACGGTAATGAACATGCTGAAATTCTCTACCTCTTTAATGGGTGGACAGTAGTTATATAAGAATGCACTGGGATTTCTTTTCCTGGAAACCAGCAGTAAGCAATAAATAGTGGTAATAATACTTTTCTTCTGTGACTTCAATAATTTTTGTAATGCTTGTGGTAGAAATTTCCAGTTTCTGTGAACTGTTACAATCAGATGTTTCCAGTTGATATTATTATTATTATTAAGTGTTCTGTCTTATGACAGGTCCATTGCTCTGCCCAAAAAGAGCTCTCCAGTTGTCCCTATTCTCAGCTTCTCGCTTTAATTCCTGGAACGTCATCTTCTTTCCTTGTTTAAGGTCGTCGGTTAGCTGTATCAATCTTCTTCCTCGTCCTCTCTTTCCTTCAACCTGGCCTTCGGTGATATCACTCAGTAATCCATTTCTTCTCATAATATGTCCCAGCCAGTTGTTAGCTTTCCTTCGTGTAATCGCCTGCAGAATGTTTCTTTGCTCGTTGACTCTCCTCAATACTTCTTCGTTGGTCACTCGATCCGTCCACCTGATCTTCTCTATTCTTCTCCAACACCACATTTCGAAACTCTCCAGGTATTTCTGTTCCTTCTTCCTGAGTGTCCAAGTCTCTGCTCCATACGTAACACTTCACTAGTTTCTTCTTCATCTCCAAGCCCAACTTGCTAGTGAGAAGTATCCTCTTCTTGACGAAAGCTGCCTTGGCCATGGCTATCCTTGCTTTTACTTCCTTGGTGCATAGGGCGTCCTACAAAACTTTAACTAAGGGTAAGATAGTACAGGAACTGCCCATAAAAACGTGATATCCTTTACTGAGGTAACAATCTCATTACTACAGAATGAGCCAAACCATTTCTTTTAACTCACTTTTCACTCCACAATATGCAAAGTATGCCAATAGGAATTTACTAAAGATCACACGACACCCTAAATCTTATAAACCACTGATCGCCGATAATGATTCTTGGCTACATGTTATTCTTTGTGCCCATTAAACTTCTGCCAATATCATGCTGTTGGTTCAAGGTACAGTGGTGTCATAAAAACCTATTGGCATGATCCAGATGGCTTGTATCTTGGGGGCACAGTTTGTATCCGAGTCCTCCTGGACTGTCAGATTTTTGTTATCCACAAAATGGAGTTTTTGGTAACAAACGAAAATGGTTTTGGAAACTTATCGTGCAACTAGGAGAAGAACTGCGAAAGGCAAAATGAACCAGTAGGTTGGTTGTTTGATTACACCCATGTTTAACAAAATAAGCAATGGATCCTTTTATTTTGGCACAGAAAGATTTTGCCACTTTTTCGCAATAGGATTCTTAACTCAGATTTGTGTGCTTCTGTCTTTGTTCATACCTATTTGTTTCTGTAACTATAATATTTGGAAAAATTGGAGTGAAAAACATGTAAAAATAGGCTGCTGTTTGAGCATTTTGTGAGAGGGGGGGGTACATGTTTTGGACCTTGAATTTCCTGATATACTATTGTCTCTGTTTGGGTTCCTTTTACCTTGGCCTGCAAATTTCTCGCAATCATCATGCATAACGGTACTTTCTTTGCCTCGCTCATTGCTCTCAGATGACAAAGAGAAAACACATCTGTTGGCAGTCACCTTGGGCATGGTTTAAGAGGATGAGTGCATCACCATAAAAATAAAAATCATGATTGTTACTATGTAAGACTTGAGGTTTTCACAGTGGTGAGTATGAAGATTTCTGTCTTCTGGGTTGTTGCGCTGTGTAGTCTGGTCGATGTT